TATTTCTCAAATTTGTTTCACCACCAGCGGCTAGATCGGACTTAACAATAAGTGGAATGTTGCAAAGAGAAATATCTTATACATACATCTTGTAGATAGACTTAAATACACCAGTTTCATCTTCACAAAACAACCTATCATATTTTTGTTAATCACACCCCAATACTTATCAGAAGACAGTTTACTAGGATAAATTATGCCATAACCACTATTCTTCTTTAGCTTTTTCATCTGAACCATTGTAGGTTGTTCAAAATTGGGAGGAACTCTATCCTGACCATACTCATTCTCTTTAATGACACAATCTTCATGGGATAATTCATAATCCTTTGTAAGATATTGATACATCTTGTCTGACATCTTGGTTAGTATTTCCTCTTTCTGAGTATTTTCTTTATCAATCTTGAGACATTTCAAACCTATAATGTCTTCCTCAGAGATGACCTTCTTCATAAGAACTTTCTTACCCTTGTTGGTTATACCACCTTTGGATTTATATAAGTTCATATTCTTCCTTTGATCACACGTATGGTTTATGTTGTTCATATTGGTCGTTGAGCCTTTCCTTAGTAGCACCTTCTCTCGACTAGGATTGATAAAAATCCTTAAGCCTTTGATTCTTCCCTTTTCTCTATTTCCAGGAGTGACATGAACTGTCTTTTCTCTAGACATGTCCCTGGTGCCTCCATTATTATAATATTGTCCTTCACTTAAGGAACATATGCGCGTTGTATGAGCTATAGAGCCATCATTGTGTTTCTGATTTTTCTTGGCATGTGATTTCTTGCATCTGCTTCATTAGACTATCATGTTGAGGATATCCATGCATTTCGTAGCAATAACGTAGTATATGTCTAAATTTACAACAACGGTGACATTTTAAAGGAAGTTTCTTGTTACTATTGTAAAGAGGTGACACATGTTGTACATGATATTCTGACATGTGGTCCAACCTCAACCTCATTCTTCTTTTCAGGTAGAACAACCCTCTCTAGGGGAAATCTCATCTCTTCCGTGCTCGTCTGAAAACCTATTCAATTCATATCTTTGAACAACTCTCCAAACTACATCATTCTATCAAATATATTTGAACTATTTTTCAAGTTACTTTCAGACTGTATCATGTTTCCTAATTTGGAGTTTAGAGAAGATATTATTTTACACACATGTGATGGTTAATCTAAGCTTATATGCTTCCTTCTAAAGAACACATATGGTTTTATTTTAGTTGTCTATTGTTAAGCACGCTTCTTCTCATTTGGTATTCAGTAGCTTGAATAATGAATCAATCTCTTCTTCAGTCAGGTCTTCATAACTAAACACACTATCATACTTAAATCTACCAGAATAAGCCATCACAATATCGGTAGTGTCTCCTTCACTTTCATTATTATAATTAGATCAAGTGATGGATAATCTTTTTTTCTTTTGTTTCTTTAGTGTGTCCAAAATCTTCACATTCAAAGCACTGAGTACCCTTGCCATCATTTGTTTTGTCTTCACTCATGCCTTTTTCTGGGGACTGATGTTGGACCTCTTGCCTTGGACATTTGTCCTTCAATTTATGTATAGATACTTCAATGAATTGTTGAACTTTTTCCCAAGAAGAGCTATAACATCTTACAAGCTATTTTCGTTATCATATTGACTTACATCCTCCTTAGTGTTGGAAAAAAGGCTATACATTTGTTCTTCTTTTCCGTCCTATCATTGATGGACATCTCCAAGGTTTGTAAGGAATTGATGAGTTCATCAACCTTAATGTTGCTCAGGTCCTGAACTTCTTAAATAGCAGACACTTTCATATCAAACCTCTTAGACAATGATCTGGAATTTTTCTAGCAAGCTTTTCTTACAACATCTTTTCACCTAAGGAAAAAGAGGTGTTGGCAATATCATGTAACCCGGTGTGGATTTAACTATATATTCATCTTTATTCATCCTCAGATTTTAAAACTTAGTGGTAAGGAGCTGCATCCTTGACATACGAACTTTGGATGTGCCTTCGTGTTCATTTTTTAGAATCTCCCATACTTCTTTAGCATCTAAACATGTGTTGATCAACATAAACATGTTCTTGTCCATACTATTGAAGATAGAATTTAAAGCCTTGGAGTTTCCAAGAGCTTTATTATCTTCAGCATCGGTCCAATCAGCTTCTCGTTTTAAATTAGTTGTACCATCTTCAGAAGTAACAACTTGATGCTTTCACCCTTTTATCACAAATTTCCATTGACTTTATATTTAGGACTCCCCCTAAATATGAGATACCCTCTCACTTTCTTTTCTCTCAAACACTAACCCCTTAGTGTTTCAATCAATAAATCCTAGTGATCAACTTTAATAAAAAATATGAATGATGTTGAATTTACTACTCAATTAGACAAACCTACAACTATCCCAAGTTACTCAAACATAGTGTGGTGTACATAAAATAACAAGGACTCTTGTAAACCTAGAACTCTAAAATCTTCAACATGAATGCTTGCTTTCCAATGGAGATTTTGATTTTCTTATATAGAAAAAGTATTATAGATTTTCTCTTTGGATATTTAGTTTGATTTCGTCTAGAACATTTATATAATCAAGATGTAGCAACCTTTTTCAACGTTAAAAGGAACTTTATCTTTTGTTGACAACGTTTGACGTGACCTCCCTCAAACATGAACAATTTGTCAAAGACACTATCCGCAGAAGTACCAATAATTTCTTCGGTAGCCATGGCAGTTTAAAACATCTTAAAATTATTGTTGTGATTTTGAAATGTTTTCCACCGAAGAGATTAGCGGGTTGAGTCGCGGAACAGTTTTCTCTCTTTAAGACGTTATGTGGTATTGTCCAAAGTTATGCAAAGCAGTTGAGCTATCACGCCGCCTCCAGGATAAAAACGATTACTACTTGCACGATAGATAATCGGTCTAAAAATACACCATCTGATGATTACTAAGACTATTCGAATATGGTATAAATATCATCGTAGTATCTGGTATAACCGTCAGTCATAATAATTTCTCAAACCAAGAAAAATCTCAATAATTCTCCAAAGAAAATTCAATAATGGTCATTTGACCACTCAAAAGGATTTTCAAACAAAGAGAAATTTGAATAATTCTCCAAAGAGAATCTAAAAATTACTTGATAATTTCTCAACTCAAATAAAGAGAAATTGACATAATTCTCTAAAGATAATTCAATAAAATACTCAAAAAAATTCAACAAATAGAAAGAAATGGAAAGAAGTTAGCGTTTCAACAATTTGAAAGACGCGAAGTTATGATGAAAAAGGAAAAACTAATAAATAATTTTTGATATGTTTTAAAATGAAACAAGTCATTTCCTTATATAATGAAATATTCTATACAAGATTTCTAATCTAAACAATGTAGGACTAAAGAGTTTTTTCCTTATATAATGAAATATTCTATACAAGATTTCTAATCTAAATAACGTAGGACTAAAGAGTTTTTTCAACTAACACACAATATAGAACTTGACTTAAGAAACTTTTCCAATTCATCTCCTTATATTAAATTATTGACATAATGTTCCAACACAATCAAACCACTTGAGTTTACCAAGTTTGATCCACTTGAGTTTACCAAGTTTAAAGGATCAGGAAGTTCTTTTTGTATACCAATTAGACAATCAAACGATCGAGTATGTCAAGTTTAAGGGTTCAGGAATAATTGGCTACGACTACCAAAGTAGTACTTCCTCTCTATTTTCCAAAATAAATATCATATTAAAAAAATTATTCTAAAATACTTGTCATTTTAAATTATCAATATAATTTTATATTTAATCTTTTAATTGTGCACTCTAATAAATACTTCTAATTTATTATTTTTCACACTTAACATTAATATTAATTTAAATACACAAATAATTAATCAAGTTGATTTGGTAATAAATAATATGAAATAAAGAGAGTATTATATAATATTCGCTCCATCGCAAATTATAAGAGGATATGAAGAAAAAATTTGTCCCATTAATATTAATATTATATTTGTCACGTTAACATTAATAATATTTTTTCTAATATACTATATGTTCTGGACTAGGCCAGTATTTGCTCCATCGTTGGGGAGATTCAATCCAGCATCTTTGTCTAAGGTCCAAAGGCGTGCAATCCAAAATAGAGATCGGTGGACATTTCCCCACATATCCGTTAGAAAAACATTACCCACATGTCCATATCATCATTATAATTGTCCTCTAGAAATTACGGGTCTAAACCTATTCTCTCGGAGCTGTTGACCAGAGAATAGGTTACGTACTGGACTCCATACACGCGTAAGTCGTGACAATCTTCGTTGTTGGGTCTCATCGTAGCCCAACATTAAAGACATTGGTCCAGCGCTGGAGACTATAAATACCCTCTCACTTGAGAGAATCAAATATTGATTCATTCACACTCTCATACTCACTTACTTGCATTAGCTCTGAAGTCAAAGTATCTTAGAAGTATCCCCCTCCTCCCACTTCACCTCTGACTATTTTGCTCGACTCGAAATTTAAAGACCGATCAAATACGATCACTATCTATTATTTATTTATTTTTCTTCTCTTAATTCTTTTAATTTCTCTTTTCTCTAATTAATGAACTATAAATAATTTCTCTTTCTTACACAATAATAATTATTATTCTCAATTCGAAATACACAAAATATTTTGTATTAGAATGGAGAGAGTATTCAATTATTAAAAAAAGTAAAATAAATTAGATCAAATATTTCTTTCACAATTTCACCACCAAAATGATAATGAGAAGAGTATTCTAATTGATCAACAAAAAAGATCATTCTATCAACTCATAAAGTAACAGAAATATTAGAACAACAAAAAATACCAAATGAACGAGTCTAAATCTAATCTAAATCATATATACAAACACAAAATAGGTTAGTGAAACTAAATCTTGTCCTCTATGATATTATCTATCATATATATTATGTTAAATCAACAACTAAAAAAAACCATTTGATAAAAAAAAATTATCATGAAGGAATCTGATGGGCTTGAAGTTGGGCATGGGCCTGGGCCTGTGGTTGAGCCTGACCATTAGAGAAAGGCAATCCCCTTGTCTTGTTGGTTTGATTGTTGCAAGGATTTGTAGCCACACGTTCACAAGAAGGACACATAGTGAGGGTGGTAGCTGGAAGTTGCATGTAGAATGGTTGAGTAGTTTTCAATGCTCTAAGCTCTTGAAGCTCCTTTTGTAACCTTCTATTCTCTTCTGTTAATGTCTCACAACATCTCTTCAAATACTCACAATCCACTTCTGTTTGCTTCAACTTCGTCCTGATAAATCACACATAATTGATTATTTAACAAATCTAAAAAGTAAATTCTCTTATAATTTAGATCAGGAGTTAAAAAAATCACCTTGCTCTTCGGTTTTGAAACCAAACTTCCACTTGACGAGGACTGAGATTCAACTGTTTTGCTAGTGCAAGTTTTTGTTTCTGGAGTAAAAATAAATAATCATGATTAATCAATTAATTAATAAATAAACATGATTAATTAACAAGAACTAAAAAGAAGTACTTAAAAGATTAAGAAGAAATTTACTGGATTTAAGGTTGTGTGTTCTTTGAAGCTTTCTTCTAGAAAAGCTGACTGGTCTTTAGAGAGTCTGAGTTTCTTCCGAGTTGACCCGTTTTCGTCGTCGTCACTGACTCTTTCAGCTTCACCTTCGTTTTCTCTCTTGTTTCTTCCTCCATATTCAGCATTGGTGTTTCTCATACTGAAGTCCATCGGAAACGGGGAGACAGAACTGCTGGGTGATGACAGTGACGCGCCGTCGTCGACATCTTCCGTCGTCGCCGGAAAACGGTTCACATCTAGCTCCCTCACCGGTGCACCTGAGTAAAAACAATATAGTAAGAAAAAAACATATTTAACTATTTCTATGTAAAAGTAAGATATGTGATGAATAGAAAAAATACATGGTTGGGTGAGCCATGGAACGGGAAGATGAGAAGGGTGGTGAGATCTAAGAACAGGAGTGAAAGGAAGAAGGTCTAGTTGAATAGGTGGATCTGAGGAACTTGTTTTTTCCTCAGAAGTTCTCAAGAAGAAACTTGGTGGTGATGGATCATTGGTGGATTTGTCAAGAAAAGAAAAAGGTAATTTTGGAGTATCACCTAAGCTTAAAGCAAGTTCCATTTTTGTTGTTACAAATGAAGAACAATGTTTTGTTGTAGGTTTGGAACAAAAAAAGGGTATTACGCGTGCGTGTGTTTGTTAAGGTGAGTTATTTTGAATGGAGAATAATGTGAAAAAGAAGAAGAGAGTGGAAATGAAAGATGTTTTCTCTCTTGTTGGTTGCAACAAAAAGTAGGAGGAGGGAATGGGGTTTTATTTCAAAGGTTGGAGTAAAGATTGACCGACAAACACAGGTTGACAAAGGCACGTGAATGTATTTAATATGAGTATAATTATTACTACGACCATTCTTACCTCTCACACTTTTCTTTCCCTTTCCCCACCTCCCGAGAATACTTCCATAACCAAATCTACCATGAAGATCCTTCAATTTTATTACTACCTATACTTTCGTTACAATAGCTCTAGTATTTAAATTGTGTTACTATATTATATCTTTTCCCTTTTTTTTTTAACTACTTTAATACGGAGTACTAGTATTTCAAGACTTTAAATTTGAGATAATATAAATATAGGCTATTTTTTTTTATAAATTAAATAATACCGTCCACATTTTTTCTCATTGACATTTATATTTAATTTTTCTTTGCTGTGGGCAGTTTTAGTATTTGTTATGGTGGATATATATAACATATTTGGATTAATTTTTAGAAGATTTAGAATTAACTCTAGAAATGTAGAATTGATTCGGAATGATTTTAAGATGTTTATTTTATTAAAAGTAGAATTAATTTTTTTTTTAGAATTGATTTTATTTGAAGTTAGAATTTGTAATACTTTCAAAATTGATTCTGAGTGATTTTTCCATTGAAATTTATTATTTAATTTATTTTTATTTAAATGTATTCAAACATAAATCAATTATGCTAAATTCAATTCTACCAAACTCAATTCTATTAGAATCAATTATGCCCACCGTCAATTCAAACACATCATTAATTGAATGATATATTTTTTTTAAATGCTTAATAAAAAATCATCTTTCTTAAACTATGTGCCTTAACTCTTTCACTTACTCCTTCCTCAAATTTCTTTCTAATAGAAAACGTAGAACTCAATCTTTCGTTTCAATGTTGTCTTCAAAGACAAATCCAACAACGTACCACTCTTATCATTCTCATCTATAAAAACTCAAGCTAGACATTTGAGTGGTTTCAAGGTCGTTGATATTGTACAATGTAAGAAAGGATCCAACAAATGAAGGTTTTTTTTGCAGATGTCTATTTTAGAGGGGTGATAACACATGTGATTTGTTCATATGGGATGAAGATATGAGACCAAAAGTTATAAATGAATATGTAAGCGATATAAATGAGTTGGAAGCTATGGATTACTTGAAGGAGTTGTATGAAGATTCAAAGAAGAAGAACAAGAATTTGAAGAACAAAATGAAATATATAAAAAATTCTAGAAAAGAAGATTCAAAGAAGAAGAACAAGAATTTGAAGAATAAACTGAAATAAAAAAAAAAAGTAGATAATTCATGATAAAACTTAATTTTTTTTTGAATTATTGAAACTGACCCTTTTGAATTTCATTCCAACTCTTCATTCTCTTAGTAATGCTACCAACGGGTTCTTCTTTTTCAAGAATTACAAGTGGATCTTCAATATTCTTTCAAGGTCCCACAATGTCATGTGTCTCGATCGTCATAAGTCTATCAATCTGTATTTTTTTAAGTGGAACATGATTAACTTTTTTCCTCTTTGATATCAGATAATGAAAATATAGTTTTAGCATAATTGACAAATGCATGAAACTAAGTATAACACAATAATTACGATAGCATAACTTACAAAATCATTGTTACTTGGCTTGCAAGTAGATTCCTAGATAAAACTTAGTTGTTTGAATGCAGTAGACGTAGTAGACTTGTAGGTGGGTCAAGGGTATGAGTTTCAGGTGTCTGAGTTACAAGTAGGTCATGGGCTTGAGTTTCAGAGGCCTAAGTTGCATATGCTTGAGTAGAAGATTTGAAGCTCATCTTCTTTGACAGTTTAGAAGATTTCTTCTTTGATCCTCCCTTATTAATAGACACACTACCTTTAGGCCTCTTATGTTGCAAATACAAGACAGTTAACAAACACATGCAAGTTTTAGTAAATAAATTTTAGGAATAAAATATGGATTCATTATGATCACTGACCCTTTTCTTTGGTTCTTTTTTTATAGATGGAGCTTGGCTTGCCTGTATAGGTGGCTCAGTAACAGTCGTTGCATTTCCCCTAAAGTTATTGCAAGTTGTTTATCCTTCTTGCATGTTGTACTATTATGCCAGAATTCTAAGCACTTCTTACATATGTGACTTGTATTAGTTATTTACCATTTGGTTTAATTTTCCTCATCTAGTTCCCTTCTACGTAGTTTTTTTCCCCTTTATGGACCATGTTTGAACATTGGTGGCAATATTATAAAATTAATGGTTTTTGGGTTATTTATTTTTCCTGTTTATGGAACTGACAACTTCATTATAGCATTTCATGTCATTAGACCTATGATAAAACTTATGTAAATAATTGATTAGATCATCAACCTTCCCATGTGTTGCAACAACACCATGTCTACATGGGATCCAAACCAAGTCCCAAAAGTTACATGAACAAGTGTGTTTTGCCAAGTCTATAATAAAGTTGTTAGTGAACAAGACATGTGTTACCTAAAATGTTAATCTCCCTACATATGTTGTGTGAATGCATTTACCTCTTAGATTGATGTTTTGGCATGATGTAAAAATTAGGATAAAGTTGGTTTTTCTGTATATTGAACAATATCTCTGAGTCATTATGTGAACCATTTAGCTATGGTCAACGAGAGAGCTACATCGCCTACACCAGAAGGTACCAATGATAGTAATGATGTCGACTCCCTAACAAAGATGTGTGCCACTGTGGAGGAGTTGCAACTGAAGGGAAATCATGATTCAAAAACGCAACGTAAATTAAAATTTCCCTTTAGTTGATCCTTATGAATGAGCATGATCAGTGATAGAAAATTACCTATTGTGGTGATTAATAACTTTGATACAAAAACCGAAATAATGATCACGAGCATTGATGAAGAACAACGCCTCTACTCAGTCCACACGAACAGACAACCTTCAGTCTCAGTGCTAGCTGCTACGAATGAAGGCTTTAAGTGTGTGTGTGTGTGTGTGTGTGTGTGTGTGTGTGTGTGTGTGTGTGTGTGTCTATGTGTGTGTGTGTGTGTGTGTGTTTGTATGTGTCTGTGTGTGTGTGAGAGAGAGATAGATAGATAGATAGAAAGAGATAGAAAGAGAAATAAGACCAGGGTTTCACAAACATAATTTCATCAAGTGAGAAAGCTTATGCACAAGGGTTGTATTAATAGAACCACTTGTGTGGGCTGCAAGTTAAAAAGCCCAACTTAAGTGCACCATATAATATATTATTATTATTATTATTATTATTATTATTATTATAACTATTATTATAATAAATATATATTTTTTATTATTATATTTTATAACTATTATAAAATTAATAATAATAATAATATTAACTATTATTATATTATATGATGTTCTATATTTCACTTAAGTGCAACGTACCTTATGGTATTCCATAATTCTCTCAAGTATATTGTACTGTTATACCCCAAAATTTACCCTCTCACTTATCAATAATTTACTCACAAGATCTCCTTTGACTCAAGACTGCACTAGGGTTGATCAGCTCAAGACATCTCCTTAAGCACTAATGACCAAAATTTGGGTTTGAGTTTGCACAAGGATTTTTGAACTTCTAATTCCCCATATGACTTTCATGGATCATTATGGACCCCCAAGATTACTTATGTCAAGTTTCAAGCCTTGGATCACACTTTTGATCAGTCAATTGAGCAGTTGACCTAAAAATCAATCATATTGGGGAAAAAGTCAACTATAGCCAATTCACAGTCAAACTTCATAATTTTTGGTCCACATCAACACTTTAAACTCATGTGTATCATTTGATCAAGTTTGGACCACAACTCCTCAAGAAATTTGATCAAATCTCCAAAAGGGCAAAATGGTCAAAATTAGGGTTTTGACTGGGAAAGGGCAATTTATGATTTTTGACCTAGCAAATGGTCAATTGGTTTAAGGCATGATCTCAAGAGTCCAATTGCATCATTTTGACCTAATTACATGGTTCAAAACATTGCAAGTTGTGATACGGTGGGAGAACTGACTAGTGTTTTGCGTTTGTATTCGCACTTGTTCGGTTGAGCAAGAGTCGCCACCGACTTTTTATTTTATCCTAAAGGAAAGGTTAAAAAAGCACAGCAAAAACCTTTTGAGATATTTCGTGGGTTCGGGGGGTAGATTATGAAAAGGGAAGGTATTAGCACCCTTTTCATCCATGGTTATCCATGGGCTCTTAGTTACTTGGTTTTTAGATCACTTGCCTTGATTTTCGATTGCTTGAAATTATGGTGTGTGTGTGTGTTTTGAAAAAATGTTTTTGAAGAGATGCCTTGTCTTAGGCAACCAATGTATTCGACTCGTGTTTGAGTGTTTTACAAAAGTGTGTATCTTTTCGAAAAGATGTTTCAAATGTTTTTGAGAGTTTGTTTTGAAAGCGTGTATGAAGTGTGGTTTTTGAAAAGAAGGCAAGTGTTTTTGCAAGTTGATCTCAAGTAACTAAGATTTTTGTCTACCCTATTGTACTCAAAGGTTTTCCCTATGTTTTCAACCCTTTTTAACAATTTGTTCCACCATTGAATTTGGTAGACAATCTTGCGTTTAGGATGTTTAACGGGACGGGCGCGGGTCATCGTATGGTCCATGAATGCAATGGTGCCAAGTGTCTTTGGCAATTTGCTTTGAAGGGACTATGATCATTCCATTTAGGCAATTTTCGAAAGCGTCATCGAGGGACTTATGATCATTTGAATTTGTTTCGCCAAAGACACTCGACGTGCAAGCATGGCCCATTTTGGAAGGCAACATGTGGAATTACCCTAGAGGGTGCAAGTGTGATTGTGTATTGATTTCATGT